ATATATATATATATATATATATATATATATATATATATATATATATATATATATATATAAACATATATACAATTTGCAGACAAGCAATAATGTTATGAATTTTTTTTTTAGTAAAATACAGAAAAAGAGAGTTTTAAAAGTAAAACATTGCAAAGAGAATAAATAATTACACAACCAAACAGCTACTATACCAAAGACGATATAAAAATTACAAAACTTCAATTATAAGCTTAAACTATATTAACTTTTCCTTTTTTTTTGAAGATCCCGAAATCCTGGGAAATTTCGGAAACTAATCCCGAATTTCGGGATGAACAATTTGTATAAAATCCCGGGATCCCGAGATCCCGAGATCCTGGGATCCCGGAATCGCCATCCCTACCCATGATATGTTTGCATAATTTATAAAACAGTGAATTAGTCCAAAGTATATCAATTTAAGACTTAACATATTAAGGTATGTTTTGGTAATTTTAGACTGTATATAATTTATCTGTATATAAACTGTATATAAATTATCTATAATAACTGAATATAAAAGACTGTATATAAATTATCTATAATAATCTTCATGAGTAAATTTAATAAAAATTTAAATGAGAAGTATTTCTTAAGAATAAATCAAAGTAACACATATAAATTACCTAAAAAAGTAAACAAATACACAGAATATAGTATAACTTATAGAGGTCCCAAGCTATGGAACTCTTTGCTGAAAGACAATTTAAATATGGCAAAATCTTTAAATTCATTTCAGTTTCAAACAAAAACTTACGGATTAATTTTTATTTTTGTTTACAAAAAAATTTTTTTTAGCATTATATCTGATTATTTAACAGTTTGTATTTTTAAATAATATATATAATCTTTATATATTATATGTTGAATATAATATCATATATTTAATTGGAAATTTGTATTTAAATATATTCTTTTATAACTTTTTGTGACTATTAGTATTTATTAGTATTATATCTTTTTAACTATATATATATATATATATATATATATATATATATATATATATATATATATATATATATATATATATATATATATATATATATATATATATATATATATATATATATATATATTACTATATGTTCTTTATTCACTATATGTATTTTTAAATATTATATCTTCTTTTTTGACTAATTGAGGGTGTTTTTACTTTTAATTGATACATCCTTTTTCTCTATTTTTATTCTTTAATATTATATCTTCTTTTTTACTATTTCTTTTTTTTTTCCCTAAATTTTCTACTTGATTTATTAACCATATATTACCATATATTATTGTTATGATCTGTAGGGGCTCTATGAAAAGATTAGGTTGGTATTTTGCCATCCATATCTTCTTTGAGCCCCTGACTGTTTATTACTTGTACATTTGTAATTATATTTTGTTTTTGGTGAAAGGAAATTGTAATTTATATAAACAAAAAAAAAAAAATAAACAATTTATATAAATATAAAAAAATATAAAAAAATTTATATAAACAGCAAAATAAAATAAAATTAAAAAAAATAAAATAAAATAAAATCTGGAGAAGCCAGAATTTTCATCTTTTCAAATTTTCATCTACAAGAATTCCAAAATATTTTATGCTTACTTGTTTTTTAATTGTATTATCATTTAAGAAGAGTTCTGGCAGCTTAAGTTGAATATTTAGTTCTTGTGTTTTTTTATGAAATAGAGTATAATTTGTTTTCTCAACATTAAGTGAAAGTTTGCTTTAAGCTAGTGAAATCTTTTTGACCTAGAAGTTAAGATATCTTATACATACTGATAAAAAAATTAATTTTATGAATAATTAAAAAAAAAAGTTGAAGTTATAACTTCTATACTTTTTTAACGAAAATTTATTACAAAAATGACGTCTTTTAAATCCATGTATCTATCTTGTTAATAAACATAAATAACAAAACTACATTTTTAGATAAAATAAACAGTATAATAGTAATAATTTTATGTTTCGAAAAATTTTGAATTAATTTTATTTTATTTTAAATTAAGGTTTAGCTCTATTATGCATTGACGTGCAATGTTGTTTTACAACAACAAACTAATTTTATTAATTTAATTAAAAAGGTATTAATAAACAAAAATATAAATGAGTAGTAAGAACAGTACAATGCTAAGGTAAATTTGTATAATTTTTTCGCAACAAGATCAGAATTATGAATCCTTTAAATTAGTAGTGATTCGTAGCCTTCTCCCAATACTGCCTTCACTAGTGACGTAGTCAGGATTTTTTGGTGATTGAGATAGCTCACTTCCAGATATGAAGCAAATTCCAAACATTTGCATGTTTATACTTATGTCAAATAACGAGACTGTGCAAAAAGTGCAGTGATTGGAGGCTGGGGACGAAAAAGCCCTTTGACTTCATCCCCAAAAAAACGTGAGGGGCAATAAGTTGATACATTTTTTTTGTACTATTCTCAATTATACTTAAATTTATCAATAACTTTAAGTTTTTATAGTATTATCTTTCTCTCAGCGTTCAAAAATTAAGGCCATATAAAGTTTAAACCCACTTTATTTGAGGGGGATACAAAATTTAGGAATTTTGGTTCTCAAACACTGAAAAATCCTCGATCCGTCACTGACCTTTACCCAAAAGAATCATCTACAAATTGTTGCTTGTGCTATGAAATAACAAGGTAGATTTTTACTTCCGCCCTAATCAACTATCCTTTTTAAAAAAATATTGTTTTCAATCAGTTAGGATGCACTATATGCATGAGGTAAGCTTGTTTTAGTTTGTTGTTATAAAACAACCTGGCGCATGAAAGGGTTAAGGAACTTAAATGATGAGCAATGAGAACTTAAAAAAAAAGTGATGAAAATGATAAAATAAAAACGTTTTTAACTTCTTTATGCCAGCAATATGAAAAAGTGGAAATTTTTAACATGTTTTAAAAAAGCAGTATTATCATTGCAGTGCCCACGTTCAGGGCCGACGATACGGGTTTTGAAGTAGGAGAGCACAATCATCAATTTGTGAAAAAAGTCCTCTATATCAGATTATCAAGGTCCCCCGTTCATCCGTCCCCCTTCCCCCTTTTTTTTTCTTTAGAAAAGAAAAAAAAAGGGGGAAAGGGGACGGACGTGTCCCCTGGTCCCCACGGGTGTCGTTGGCCTTGACGTTCATACTGACAAAAAACAATAACAACAACTTTTCCATTTCCAAAGCGCATTAAATTATTATTGTATTATTATTATTTATTATTGTAAAAAGCTGTTGTAAGTGACAACAAAACAATACTGCAAAGATGCTTAGTTAATACAAAAGTTTATGCTATTTCAAAACAACCTTTTGCTTTATTGTTGTTAACATTAAAAATATTAACTGTGTTGTTGTCAGTATGAACGGGTTCTGCATCTAGCAAATTTACAATCAATGGTTGAATGAATGAACCACGCATATATAACCGCAATTGCACACTTCTTCGCAACAACGCATTCTACAAAGAAACAATTAAGTAAATTGGAAGAGCTAGTTGTCTCAAAGCAGAGCTAATGACACGGGTTTAAAAGAGGAGTGGGAAAAGTTGTCAATTTCTTAAAAAAGTTCTCTATAAATAGAAATTTCTAAAAAAAAAGGGGCTTTAGAAAAAAGTGAGGAGGTCATTGCTCCCTGAACATTACCCCTCCCCTCCCCGCTGTTATCGGCCCTGCAATGTCAAATTTACCCTAAAAGCCAAGTTCCATAAAAAGATAAACTGTATCAAAGGCAAATGATAGAATAAAAAATTTTGATAAATAAACAAAAATGAACGAAATTACGAAAAACGTGTAAAAAAACAAAACAAAAACTAAACATTAAACAAATAAATCAACCCATATTTTGTCACTTTAAAAACAAAACAAAAATACTTTCTGAACAAAGTATTTCATAGTTATTTTGTATTCTTTTTTTCTGTAATATTTTTTACAATTCTTTAAATGCGTGATATATGACATTTTTTAAAAATATCTATTAAATTAAAGCTTCTTTTCTTATTTTTTTTGAATAATATTTATAAATTAACATAGTTATTTATAAATTAACATAATTATTTATAATATTTCAAAGAAATATTGAGCATTGTTACAATCGCAACAATGTATACGTGCTTTCAAATGTACTACGTCAATTCATTTTTTCGCTAATTTTTCTAAATAAAAGTTGTGCAATAATCATGAACTAAATCTTTTTCTAATTTTTCTAAATTTTTTCGCTAATTTTTCTAGATAAAGGTTGTGCAATAATCATGAACTAAATCTGGAGACAATAATGGAAAGTAAAAAAAAAAATAAAAATTGTCGGCCTCAAAAATTTAATTCCTGAAACGGATCTTCAATCTCTAAAATGTGCAGTTGAGTACTGGAACTTAAAAGAGCAGAGAACTATCTTCAAGGACATTCTTGAAAAACATATTCCAAGATGATCACGTTGAAAAAAAAAAAAAAAAAAAATTTCCAAGATTTTTTATATTTATCTTGTATGAAACTCTTAATTTACCTTACTTGTATAGTGGGTGTTTAATAAATCTGAAATAAAATAAATAAATGAAAAATTAAAAAAATACTTTCAGTTTAACAATAAAAAATGATTTTAATATATTTTTAATACATTTATTTTTATTATTATTTTTTATTTATTATTTCTTTACATCTATATTAGTCTTTAAATTATTAAAAGTTTTGTTTTATTTAATTGTTCATTTTTATTATTGCTTTATTAGATTGTTTTATTACTTCAATTGAAAAAAAAACAATTTTATTTTAATTTTTAATTTAATATTCTAACATTCGAACCACTTAGAAAATTAAAATGCAATATCCAACTTTTTTTGTTTTGTCGCAGTAAGATTTTTCAATTTTATTTAGTACCTTAACATGCGATTTCTTGCTATCTTTTACTTATCTTTTTTAAAAAAAACACTTTTTTTTAAATATTTATTAAGTAGGAGGATTGCATCAACTACCTTTAACAAGTTTATCTCGAGTGAATCTAGCAGATTGATAGGTAACGTTAGAAATTTGTACTTGTGTGTTGGCTACTATACAAACTTTAAAGTTTACATTTAGACTCTACAAACAAAAAGAATCAGAGATTCAGATTTAAGTAGGTATCTATATTTGAATATATTTTTAAAACTTTATTATCGGATGTCAATCTAACTGTATATCTGGATCTTTTTAGTTGTTTTAAAAAATTTAAATAAGAAACATTTATAAAAAATAGTCCTGTAAACAAGAGTATCTTTTTTAAAGAACGTATTTAGTGGGGCTTTAGACGCCCTAAACAACGTATTTAGTGGGGCTTTAGACGCCCTAAAGAACGTATTTAGTGGAGCTTTAAACGCCCTAAAGAACGTATTTAGTGGGGCTTTAGACGCTCTAAAGAACGTATTTAGTGGGGCTTTAGACGCCCTAAATCATGATCCCAACTTTCTATAAAAAAAAAAGATACATTGTCATTAAAAAGGAGACAAATAGTGTAGATTCGAGTAATACGAGCCTCTAGGTAATATGAGTTTACCAAATAATTTTTAAGATGAGAGTAGTGAAGTTTAAATCAACTTTATATGGCGAGCACAAGAAGTAGTACAATTAGCCTAAATTTAAATACAATAATTATCAGTTCTCGTCTAATTAAAACGCTATTTAATTTTTTGTGTTGGTAAAATATTATCATTACACACGAAAGAATCTGTAGTACGAAATTTTGATGTTGAATTATAGGTATTTATTTTTTTCATGAAGAAAAATTTATTTGCTAAAAATACGTTCCTTTTTTGTTTGAGAAACAATGCATAAAAAAATTTCTTTTTGACTTCATTTCAAGATAACATTTTTGTGTATGGGCATGCTAAAATTACTCGGTGTTTTTTATTAAAACTTCCTCGTTTAAAGTCCTAAAAATGCAAAAAATACAATAAAAAATAAAAAATAAAGTGGTCATATTATCAAGTGGTTAAAATAAATATCTAAGTGGATCATAAGTAGTGATTCCTAAAAATTGTTTATTCGCAAAAGTTTTGATTAAATTGTAATTATTTTCAAAATTATTCTAAATTTCGCTTAAGGTGCTTATCCATTCATACCCTAATCTACCCTATTCTGGAGATTAAGTGTAGGGTCTCCAGAATTCAATAGTGGGCAGTTGTTATTAATAATGTAAATCAACAATACTGGAAAACTTTAACTTATGGTTTAGAGCAAACGAACTTTCTTTAAACTGTGAAAAAGTCAATTACATTTTATTTAACAGGCCAATCAACCTATTTGTATTATATATATATATATATATATATATATATATATATATATATATATATATATATATATATATATATATATATATATATATATATATTTTTTATAAGAATGAAGGCTTTTTTTTTCACTTTTTTATTGGTTTAGGGTTTTTTGCTAAAATGCCCCTGAATTCAAAAATTAAGTTAAATTTTTTTAAAACCAAAGTTATTTATAAAAAATGTTAGGTAAATTTGAACAGCCGTTACGCATTGGTTAGCGCGCTTGACCTATAATCTAGAAATATTTGTTTCAAAACAACCTCTGAGCAAGTTTTATTTTCGGTAAGAAAGGAGGTGTGAACTTCCTTTCAAATGCTCTTCCGCGCTGCGCTGTAATAAGACTGTAAGGACTTCTTTAGACACCCAAAATAAAAAATTGAAAAAATAATAAAAAAATCCATGAAACATGTATGCAAAGATGAATTCAGGGCCCTATATTATATATGAAGGACCTTTTTAGGTACCTACATTTCATTTGGTGCCCCTTGGATATCTGCCGCCCGGAGCAAACTGTTCCCGTGTCCCCCCGCTCGGCGGCCCTGCTTTAATTTGAATTGATGACTTTTAATTTTTTTTATTTTGATAAATACCAATATTGCCATTACATTAAACATTACCAGCAATTAGACAAACTGAAAACTGTGACTTTATTGCATTGATGTTGTAGTTAAAATGTCTGATTGTCGGAATATATTTCTTGCAAATCTTTTAGAAAAAACAAATTGAACACCAATACTAAGTAATACTTTAAAAAACTCTTTGAATGACTGCACTGAATTTCAAAAGCCTAAATAATCTTGTGAAGAAACTTTGATTTTAACTATCTTCTTGTTGATTTATAGATTCTTTTTACAATTTATTAAACTTGTGATTCAATCAACCGGCCATATGATCTACTGATTCATATGGTTTTAAAAATGGCTTCCTCTTTGTTTTATGTTCAATGGTGTTCTTTACATTTAAACAATCAAAAAACAATCCCGTCATAAAATAAATTTATGCAATTCAAGCTATTTCTGGTAACAGTTAAATAAATTGATTTTAGTGGCAAAATAAACAAAGTGCTATATTTTCAGCTGTTTTTGGTAGTGCATCCAATAACGGTAGTACCGATACCGAAATATCGGTTTTACCGGGCTTTTTTAAGTACCGAAATACCCGTATTGTGTTGGTTCAATACCGTATTAAAAAATATATGTACAAGGCTTGTGTGCAATTGCTTTCTTCACGTAAAACATAAAATGGAATATCTAAAACTTCTAGGCGCGATAAACAACGCTCGCTCAGCTCCCAGCTAGCACACATACGTTGTTAAAACATTAGAACAATGTCGCGCGTTTCATTGGCCCAACATCGGCTGCCAACGTTGTTTTTATATCATTATGGTTACAAATGCGACGTCGCCAACAACTAAAAATTAATGTTGATAAAACGTTTTATTAAAGTCAGAAAATAGTTATATTTTTTACGTTGATTCAACGTTTTATTTTATACGTTGGTCCAACGTTGTATTTACGTTGATTCAACGTTGAGCTTTATATGGCAAAACATTATATTCAAACTTAAATTTATTTAAGTTATATAATTTTGCAATAGCAATGTTTGGTCGCATACATCACATCAACGTTGGGTTTAGTTCGTAAAAGCAATCAACTTTTTACAATCTATTTACATACATTGGATCAACGTTGATTTATATACATTGAATCAACGTCGAAATATATACATTGGATCAACGTTGGGTTTAGATCGTAAAAACAATCAACATTTTGCGATGTTTTTACATACACTGGAAAAACGTTGATTTATATACATTGAATCAATGTCGAGATATATACATTGGACCAACGTTGGGTTTAGATCGTAAAAACAATCAAACTTTTTCGATGTTTTTTCATACATTGGAAAAACGTTGATTTATATACATTTAATCAACGTCAAAATATATACATTGGATCAATATGCTTAACCTTAGTGACCAAAGTGTTTGTAGCTCAGTGCAATCATTTTTAAAAACCTCTGTTCTGTTCCTTGTACAAATATAACACAGATAAGTTGCCATGGAACTCGGAGACATAACACACATGACTTGACAGAGTTTGATATCTGCCACACAAGTAAAGTTTATTTTATCCAAACAGAGTTTGTCAAGCAGAATTTTAACATTATGGTTTGTCTCTGGTACATCTGGTACCAGTGCTATAATAAATGATGCTTTCACAGATCCTTCCTTGAAATTTGGTGATTAAATTTCTCCATATTTTCTCCTTTTTCTTTTAATTGTTTCACTAGGATTTGATACAACATTTAAGCAAACCTAAATATTTTATAATAAATTACACTTATTATTTTTAATTAGAAAAAAAAAGTGGCACATTATAAAATCAAATTACCTTAAGAAATCCCCGACCTCCGTCAATGGAAATTTTTATATACTGGTTTTGAGGACAGGCTCCTTTTTTATCTATTATTTGCCACAGAAACTCATTGACCTCTGTTGTTATAAATGGTGATAAATGGGATCAGTTTAAACAAACTTATTTCCTCTACAGATTTAATATTAAAAAGTTCAAAATTCTCAACAAAACAATCATCAAGTTGCTGGTCAATACGTTTGAGCTCTGCTGCTAACCCTGATTGTACAACTTTTCTGTTTTGTGCTTTGAATCGTAATTCTTTTGCTAGCTTTAAAATTTTTGTGTTACTTAATTCTAAAGTTGATTGTATGTCAATCATACTGTTTATAGACAGTTGTTGTATATTACTAGTATCATGGTTTCTGTTAAGTGTAAAACTTACTTTTGTAGCACCAGTAGCAAGTATCGCTTTACCCTTTTTGTCTATTTTGTCTTTTTTTAAAGAATTAGCTATTTGCTCAATTGTCTTGACATTATTTGCAAGCTTTTGCATTACATTACATTTAAGTACAGCTAAAGAACATTTGTGGGTAATTCCTTTGCTAATAATTGAAAAGCAAGTTTGACAAGTTAGACTATTAACTGGAGGTTGCGCGTTACATTTACGTCCCTTTTTGAATTTTTTAGGTCTCCCTTGAATAGATCCAATTATACATATTTTGCATTTACATACAAAAACACTTCTAATTAGAACTGGTATTTTCATTTTATTCCACTTTACGTGTAAAGCTCTTTTCCTCTTCTTATACTGCTTTTGCAAGATTCGCAAATAGCTTTAGGATAGAATGAATTTTTAATGTTGTATTTAAAATTCACTAAATTTTTAATCCACGGTACAATAATATCGTTAGATTTATTTGTTTTTTTGGCACAAAATAAACAAACTTTTCTCCTGTTTTCCTCATGAGTTCAGGCCGGTTTAAATAAACTTATTCTATATAGAAAAATAAAACAATTCAAGAACACAGAGAAAACACACTTTTTATTATACCTAAAATATAAAGATTATATACCATATTGTAATTCTTTAAAAAATGTTTCAAACACACTATACAAATATAATATAATATAATACAAATATAAATGATGAATATTACAGTATATGGGTTCCTTATTAAATACCATTTAACATTACTTACAAGCGTTATTTATTACACTTCAATTTTTAAAGTTAAAACAAAATAAAAATATGCAGAATTAAGAAGTTTGGTTACACATGTGGTAATGATGAGTTGCGGTCTGTTTTGTTTTGTTCAGTATATGCTTTTTTATTTTATTTTTTCAATGAAAACATATTTGACTAGATTGATAAAGTGATTTTTGATATTTTGTTTAAAGTAAAATATATTATTCGTTCTTTATAAACTTATTTATAAAGTTTAATAATG